ATTATTTATTAGAAAAAGAAAATTGTTATTGTTACTTACAGTGTTAATGAACTAGTTATTGTGATCTATAAGAATGATAATGATTCTCATTTCTATCAGGTCCTTTTTTATGAAAATATCGTCTGTGGGGATTATATGAAAATGGATTATTGAGTGCGACGATGATTATAAGAGTTTTTGTGACATGTCTAATGTAGAATTACCAATTAGTCTTTCTATATATCTGTTGAAAACTTATTTTGTTTTATTTGTATCATGAAGAATATGATATTCTTTGGTATGTTCTTCAACTCGACAATTTGTGGTGGTATAGTTTATTGAGGAATGCTTAGAAAGATTTAAAAGCATTGTTCTTTAACAATCCAATATTCTTTGACATATAAACTGTAGTATTTGCACTCTTTTTATGATGAAGATTCGATCGTATTGGTAGAATATTTTTATGATAGAAAACTCTTCTCTCTATTGAAAGAATGAGAAACAGTATCAGATCAAATCATTTTCTCAAAATCAGTTTATTTCTGAATTCAGAATTCAAAATTATGCGATATGCTATATAGTTGTAATACTTACTTTTAAGAAAACAATCGCTTCTAGGTTTTTTGCCGATAATCTTGATCGTTCTTTTCTGTACACAAAAGATGCTGTTGAAAATGCTGATTCGGCTGGAACACTAGTTGCTGATGTGCATCCAAATTTTCGTGCCAATTTGAAAAGATAAGGCAATGCAAATTCATAATTTTTCCAAAATGTAAGAAAAGAAGATGTATCTGGTAGATTTTTAGTGTTATATTTATTTACTAATGATCGATAATTACGTAATTCTTCAATTATTGTTGCACGTGAAGTAGTCGTGTTATTTTGGACAATGTGGTCACCGACACTGTTCAGAAATACTTTCATAGCTGTAATTTTTTTATTCATATAAGTTTTTGATGTTGATGATGAATTCGCAAGACTTGTTGTTGGCGTTGTATTAGATGTAGAACTCACCTCAGAATTGACTAATTCATGTGTTGTTAATGATGATGGTGATGAACTATTGATGTTTATTGAATCATTATCATGCATTTGTTTGATATCATATTCGACTGATCGTTTATCAGCATCTGATAAAGCCCGATAACCAGTTGGATCAAAATAACTATGAAACTGAAATGGAAATATATAAGACTAGAAAGAAACAATTTTTTTTTGTTTTATAAGAAGTTCTTTTCTTATTATTAAAGATCTTTTATTCAGAATTATCAATTTTTCGACTGAAAAATGATAGGAGATCTATGAATCTAATATTTGCATGGATTTTTTTAAATTTTATCAAGGACTTAAACATTTAGTTGATTCTATTTGTCATAAATATTCATAATATATATTAGTTTAGTTACTGATATTGAACTTTTATGTAATCTCGTTCTAGTTTTTTACTCGTAACATGATCTGAACTGCATTATAAGATGCAAGTATTTCAACTTGATTTTTAAAAGTTTCCATAAAGTGTCCACTTTTAACTATTTTGGATTCATCTCAGTGTGAAATCATCTAGTATACATGTTAACGTTATGACATTAAATTTAAACTTCGACATGATCAGAAAGTACTCAGTTCCATTAAAATTTACTCGAAGCAAAGGCTCATGTGGGTCTAAAAGTAGCAACCAAAAATAAAACAATTTTATAGTACCTCGTTTGATTGGAAAATAATTATTCATTGAAGACAAACATGTTAAATTTTTGTAAGAGAAGAAAATATTTGCAATATGTGTTGAAATTTTTCGTTCGTTTATATTCAAGAAATTAGGAAAGCTTCGTGATTTGTACTCTTTTTTTTTAATTATCGTAAGATCGTATATATCCAATGCTTGAACTACTCATACTTGTAACTACAGCAAAACATTAAGGTTCTCATCTTTATGCTTATTATTGTCTTCAAAAGTAATGAAAAACTGTATAGATAATTGTTTAGTAATAGCAATACTATTACTTGCTTTTTACTTACTTTTAAAAGATTTAATTGAACTTCATCTTCTTCAAAATAATGAATCATTTTTGATAATAACAATTTTTTCAATCTTTTAACAGTCATATTATCGTTTGAGTCCTTCATTAGGAATGATTTCAATTTAGTGAAAATGAAATAAGCCGAACTCATTGTAGGATATGTTTTTCCAGAAACAATATTTGTAGCATTATAAAAAACTTCCAAAACATAATGCAATTGATTTAAATGATTCCATTCGGCACTAGTAATTTCCAATTCATTTAATTTCTCAATTTGATCATCTTTTATATTCAACCGATGTTTATCATTGTATAAATTTTCAATTATTGGTCGAACAGTTTTTAATGAATCAATCATCATGTATGAAGAATTCCAACGTGTGCAAACATCACGAAGTACGTTACGAGTTTCTTCTAGTTCTTTACGATGTTTATTAAAATATAAAGTTAGAATTGAAGATTTTCGAATCATATCAATCAGTTTACGACATTTAGTCAATACAGATAAGGTTAATTGCTGTTCTTTTGTTAATGTTGGATCATTTGGATCAACTTCAGCATCTTCTCTCCAATTATCATATAAAGAATTTTGTGAATTATCAGACGTTGAAATATCATCGTTGTCATCATTACCATCGATATCAACAGCGTCTTCTTCTTCATCATCATTTTTATCATCAGTTTGATCATTATCATTATTGTCGTGATCATCATCATCATCATACTCATTATCGTCAAAATCATCATCATTTGTTTTATCACTGTAATCTTCATAATCAACGTAATCTTCATTATGTTGATCGTCATGTACTAAGACAGATTCATTGTCCTTATTATCTGTAAATAGGTTTTCTTTACCAACATCATCATCGTCTTCGACACTAATACCACCACTAACTAAATCTTTGTTATTAGAAAATGTTACAAAATGATTGTTCTTGTTTAATTGATTATGTTGATAAGCATCATTTGTTCGTGATTGTTCATGTGTTGAATGGGGTTTTTCATTTGTAACAAGTTGATTATTCAAATTTGCATTACCGTATTGAGCATCTAAACATTAAGGATGTAAAAATTATTTTTAAGAAAATTTCTTCAGAATAGTTGCAATCTAGAATTTTCCTGGAATATTATAAAGGTATTTTTTGCCATTGCATCCATAACTGTTAGAGAATGCAATGTTTTGAAAGAATTCCAATACCAAAAAGAGACAGGACAAATGTATTAAGAAACAGACTTAACCAACATCTTTATAGAAAAAGTTATCAAAATTTTGAAGGCTCGTAATTTCTTGTACCTAACATTTTCGAAACATTTCACTTATTGGGTACTATCAGTATTGCAATTCTAGACATCCTACTGAGTTTTGCAATAAATCTAAGTTACAAGTTTTAAATGAACAGTGTGTATGCAATTAATATTCAATATAAGCATATTGCTCGCTTTAGTTGCAGATTATATTCATTTATTTAACTTTGAATATATATTTGGCAAGATACATGATGCTTAATATCCTATTTTCAGTTACTTCAAATTAAACTAACTCTAATCGCTCAACACTTTCATAAGTAAAGACAGAATTATTTATAAAGTTTTATCTTATTCAGATGAGAACAATATAAAAAAGTATTCTGCTCATTGTTATTTATTCTAAAATAAATCATTCTCCTTTACCAACATAAAAAGCAACAGCAAATAAAGATATTCAGATAGTTCTGTACCACTTATATATGAAGTTGAGTTCATATTTGTGTACTTACGAGTTTATTTTCTTACCTTGATTAGATCCATCAACATTTTTTTTTTGTTTCTTTGGCCATAATGCTAAAGCATTTGTTACAGCTAAATGCAATCTATGACCTATGCACCAGATATGTTGTGCGTTGGTTTCTATGAGAGATATTGCTTTGGATAGATTTGGTGCACCATCTGTAACTATTCGATTAATTTTGTGAAGAATATTTAAACCTTCTAATTTTCTTTTTAAAATTTTGGAAATTTGTTCAGACGTGTGGCGGTGGTCAAACGAACAAAAAATAAGTATCTTCGATTTCAGTTGATGATCATTATTATAGAAATGGCCAGTGACCACTAGATAACCACGATTGGTTCTGTCAGACCAAAAGTCCAATGTAACGGTGAGTGTTTCAATTAGCTGTAATTGTTCGATTAGTTTATTACGATGTATAGAATACAATCTTTTGATTTTACGTGCAACAACATTACGATGTATTGGACGGTAGCCTAGAAGTACATCAAAATTTATGGAACAATATCATAACTATATATAATCATCTTTTCTTCTACAGTTTCGCAAAATTTCATCAATACGAGCACTTATAAGTATTCTAAAACAATGAGTTGAAAGATTAGATATATACAGGATGATTCCCTTATTTTTACTAGTTTTCTTCAGTTTATTGTATTTGTACAAAACGTCGGAAATTTTTTATTTATATATGATTAGATAGGGCATTGATTATTCTATCCAATGGCACATTTTTCATGTTTTTTATCAGATGTCTTGATTAAAAAATTTAACAAATTCTAAAACTAGCTTAAAGTAATTTTTGCAAACGTATACTTCACTCAGGCTAAGTTCGATTGTCTCAAAATTGATCTTGAACGAAAGTGATCCTTCATACTTAAGTTTGCACCAAATATTGATTCAAAATTTTTTCAATTCGAGGAAAAAATTAATTTTACTGTTGAAACTATAGACACTTTCGTACTGCTTCATTTCCGGTGATATTCATATAATCTGAAATTTAACTATAAGATTTTATAACTAAATCAGGCTAAAATTGCATGAATTAATAGAGAAATTACTGCTTTATCGAACTGTATATTAATTGGAAAAATTGATATATCTAGAGGACTACAATTTACTCGAAAAAGACAAATCATTGAAAATTTATCTAAAAAAATTTGTTAAACATTCGCTAAACTTTTTTAGTCAAAGTGAAAAATAAAGTGATAAAAAGTATATAGTTCGATAGAGTAATGAATTCTCTATCTAACTATTTAAAAACGAAATATATTCATTTGTCCAATACGATATAATTACTCGAATTACTCGAAGAAAGCATCTCGAAATTCCACAGAAAAGTTTTTTTCCTGCCTCATGAAACTTACTCATTTTTTGACCAATACGTAAGTCAAATCAAGTGAAAAAAATACCGCTGGATAGAGTAATTAACGCTCTATCTAATTATATAGAAATTAAAAAAATTTCGACGTTTCGCACAGATATAATAAACTGAAGAAAACTAGTAAAAATAAGTGAATCTCGCTGTATAGTTCATGCTTGTCATTGTTGTCTGATATACACTTATTCTTTTTATCACTTCTTACGATATTTTTAGAGAATGAGTAAGACTGACTATTTGATTAGACTTGCTTCTCTCAAATAAAGTTAACTTTGAAACGACTACAGACTTTGAGGAGCACAGTAAATCTGTGAATTTCTGTTGGAAACAGTGCTACATCTTTTCTTACATATCTTTATTCTGTTGTATAAACCGAGATTACTCGAGACCGTATCGAACATAATTCAGGTTGAAAAGAGTTTTATTTTACCTGGAATGGCTTCTTGTATTAGTTTTGACAATCCATTTTTACTAAATGCATTGAATGGTAAATTGTCCTTGATTATAGCTTCGACAGATAGTGTATGAAATTTTGCCTTAAGACGTTGACTGATAGTTGATGTCTTATTTTCGTTTTCATCTGGTAATACCAACTCCTGTATGTCGTGAACTTCGATCAAATGACGACGAACAGAAGTGGTTGACCAATTAGCAGTTGAAATATGTTTGTCACATAATAAACAAATAGCATATTTCTTGTCTTTGCTTAGCTTGGCATATTTCCATACAGATGATACTTTAGGTGATTGAAGTACAGTTTCTTCTTCTTCCTCTTCATGACTAGTATCATGATCAATAGTAATTGCTGATGTTGTTAAATTATTAACGGATTGCTTTAAAATTTTCTTTCTATTCGAATTTTTTGAAAGTGCATGTTTGCGCTTTTTTGGTGTTGTTGGAATCGATGTTGGTTCAAAATAACTGTTATCAAAATCTGCATCTGAACCTGTAATATTTGCGTCCTAATTAATAATACGAAATAATTTGAGTTCATTACCTTTGTCTGTTATTTGAATTGCTTCATTATTATTTTGAAATTTGTTGGATATAACTTCAGTTTGAGTTGTATCGCATAAAACATTGATTGAAGACGAAGAATCAA